GCGTATTGATCGTTGGAAAAGTTGTTACGAAGGTGACATGGTCTGCTAGGCTCATCAAAAGTAAGACGATGATTTTATCACAAATTTTGAGCGGCAAAAAACAGCAGTTGTCTGATAAGCCTTTACTATTTGAAACTACTGCGATGAAAAACTTTTCGTGGACGTCACGAATTTAACATAACAATTGATTTTTGTGGACACAGTGTCTTGAAACTTTCCCATAGGTGCCCTCTTTGTACTTCAACTTTTCTTCAGAATTAAACTGAATGAAAGGATTTTTAGAGATAATATCTCGAGACTCTCTGAATTTTCAGAATACTCCCTTGAAGTTTTGTTGTAGAGCGACGAACTTGTCAAGTTTGCTGGCTAAAGAACTTTTTCTGCAAAACTTGACACATTTAAATGGCGCCTTTGTAAGGAAAGTTGAGGGAAATATTGAGATTAATTTCAAACGGGTGAGGTGGTCATTGAGGTGACTTTCTTTAATTTGAGTATAAATAATTATTTAATTGTTTCCCTCATATAGAGGCCCACAAAGCTAGCATATAGCATCCAGCTTTCCATGTAATTTATACCTTAAAAACATGTAAGGTTGACTGAGTAGAAAGCCCGGGGATAATACAGGACTGTTTACTCATATTCCTCATTGAAAGTATAAAACATTATTATTTGAAGGTATGTGTATAAAACTCTCTATATCAACAATTTATAATATTGTGAGTGTGTAGAAGTTCTGAGCGTTTTCGGAAGGAAATAGTCGATGATTATAAAATACACAAAATAATCAGTCTTATTGAATATATTGCTGTATTCAATTAAAGAAGACGGGACACAACAAATAAAATGGTTGGGGCGGTTTATTTAATAAATGATAGAGAGTAACACAGGATGAAGATGTCTTGAGATCGATCTCCAAAGATAAGAACGAATCTTGATGTTGATAAAATGACTGTCGTTCCTAGGGGCTTCTCTCGATCCAGATGATTGACAAAAGAAAAGAGATTCGAAGGGGGATACGCAACATTCCCTCGTTGTTGCTGAATTCCGCATCAGTAAAATTCCTTAGGTCTGCAGGCAACAAACATTTTATACCAGAACCAAGTATATGCATAAGCCTGAATCACGAATAAAATATACTTGATTCCAGTACATTATTCTTTATTTGAGTATATAATGTACTTGATTCAAGCATATTTTATACTCACCAATTCGAAGATGATTCTTTCATATCAGGCTGGAGTGTGGAAGGCGCTCTCAATTGTAATATAGGGGTCAGGCACTAATTGTAAGTGTCAGAATATAAAGGTCAAAAAGTGGACGACATATTCCGTATCGCCAATGGATTGTTTCATTGGCACTATTGAAAAGGACTGAGCATCTGAATCAAAAAATAATCGGTGCCGTTTTACTACATTTTACCCACGTGATACCTACTTTTTTTACATTCATATGATGACCCTCATTTCTTCAGTTTTCCATTGAGGCCATCAGTTTTTGACCCTAATATTCCGACCCTCGTTTTTTTACTTTCACTCTTTGACCCTTATATTATACTTGAAAGGGCTTGGTATAACCCGAGCTAATACGAAATAATAATCCTCGAATTGAAATACACCCCCTCCCCTACCCAATCGAGTATAAAATATACTTGATGCAAGAATAATCAAAACATGAATAGTCTACTTAAATCAAGTATATTTTGTTCTTGATTTAGGTTTATGCATATACTTGGTTCTAGTATAAAATATACTCAATTCAGGTTTTTCCGCAATACATTTTCGAATATTTCCAATATTTTGAAATGATGAATTGATGAATGTAGAGAAATTCGAGTTACGTGGTAGGATCTAAAATAAAAGAATCACCTAAATGGGGATATGATGGTTTCCATATCTTCAAGAATGTTTCAATTAGTAGAAAAAAATTATTTGAAGTGAAAATAACAAAACAAAGAATAATTTATGTCGCGTCGTGCAATAAGTCGAATTTATCGCACGCTGCGCTTCGCGCAGCCTGCTCAAAACTCGACTTCTGCACGACTTGACATAAAATATTATAGAGCACTCGGTAATAAATTTCGTTTTTAACGAATGTGTAGTTTACAGGCCGAGCCGAAGGCGAGGTCTGTACACACCTTCGTTGAAAACGAAATTTGTGCCCTTGTACTCTAATGTACTATAAATTAAGAAATAGTTGAATGCAGCCGAAGCCTCTAATTTCTGGACGACTGAGCCATATTTTTTTTTATTTATTAAATGTCGATCAATAGAAAAAATAATTGATCACATGATTATACATCAGTAATATTAATGAAAGGTGAAATAATCACGACAATTTTACATAATACAGTACAATTTTCATTTTATTTATGGAATAATCAATGCAAGATGAAATCGCCCAGAAACTAATCGACATCCAGAAATTGACCTGTTTACCCTATGTTGAACTGATTTGACGGTTGACGGCTGATTTGACGGTAATCAGAAGGCGTAATATCTGGGGAGTACGCCGGGTGCAGTAGAACCCATTCAAGTTCCATAATTGTTTTCAGCGTGATTTTAGCAGTATACGATCGAGTGTTGTCGTGTACCCGAATAATTGGTCTATTCGTTGTTTGCAGTAAATGGTCGTTGTAACAATATATTCCTTCATTTAAATAAGTAAATTGGTTACTGCAGCATTTGAAATTGATTGTTTCTCCTGTACTGGTGGTGGGAGTTCATAATACAGCACACCCTTCTGGTCCGACCTAATACACAACTACTCATTTCCGGAGTGGTCGGCTAGTTTTCACGCAGATGTCATCGGCTATCCAAGGTTAATCCTTCTTACCTTAATGCTTCTTACGTTTCAGATTATAGTAATAAATCCATTTCTCATCACGGATTACAATTTTCTATAAAAATATTTCTCTTGCCTGTGTGACGAGGAGATCAATGTATTCGGGATGTATGCATTGAACCGTGTCAAAATGTTCTTCACGGAAGAAAACTAAATTGATGAGATACCTACACGTATAAAAAAATCATATAGAAATTTGCTGTACGGATTACGTATAGAAATTCTATCGGATTTCCGTATATCATATTCGGATATTTCTATACGAATTATTTCTATACATAAATTTTCACATAAATTTTTATTTTCTACCGAAGATATCTAAATAACGCTCCAGAGGAAAACTTAGAGAAATGTCGCAACTCCATACGAAATGTTTCTATACATGTGGCAGTGGGTTGTATAGGATCAAACCTATAGAAATCGTATAGAAATAATTTGTATAAAAAATATCCGTATAGAAATATCCGAATATCATATACGAAAATCCTATAGAAATTCTATACGCAATCCGTATAGAAAATTTCTATATGATTTTTCCATACGTGTACCGGAAAGCAGGATCACATAAATTTAGTTCTTCGAAATTTCGAGTGCGTAAGAATAAACTCGGCAGGTATTCCAAAAGTAGTATGTGTTACACGTGCGTGCCGAAAAGTACAATTCTACGCATTTCTAACACAATATACTATTGTTTACTGAAGACTGTGGCGAAGTTATGAAGTACATACAGGGGCTGTGTTATAAGGCTGTTGTTTGAGGGGAGGATGCTATAAGTTTTAAAAGTTGCGGGCGATTGGAGTGAGATTTCTCATGCATTAAAGATCGATTATATACATCTAAAAACGAATAATTAGTTTAAAAAAATTAATTGTTCATTGGTCGTTTGTCGCGCACGCGCTTAAAATATTAAAAATATTTCAGGGCCTCCAATTTTTGAACTACAGAGGTTTTTTTTCAGAATTTTTGAAAAAAATGTGTACAATAACAATTACGAATCAGTTGTTTGGAATTCGATTCCTACACAACTAATTTCGTTTTGTTTAATATAAAAATTTGCGCCATTCATGTAAAATAATTCATTCATAAAAAATATCCTTATAATATTTAACATATATTTTCGACACTTTCCAAAACATTTTTTGGGCTATTTTATATGAGTGGTGCAATTTTTTACTTAAAAAAAACGAAATGAGCTATGTAGGAGTCGAATTTCAAAACACTATTTCGTAGTTGTTATTGTACACATTTTTTCAAAAATTTTGAAAAAAACTCTAGTTCGAAAATTGGAGGCCCTGGACTATTTTTAACATTTTAAGCGCCTGCGGGGTAAATGAACAATAAACAATTAATTTTTTTATGCTAATTATTCATTTTCAGATACATGTAATCGATCTTTAATGTGTAGGAAATCTCATTCCATTAGCCCGCAACTTTTAAAACTTATAGTAGTTTCCCCCTAACACGAGTAAAATAACACAGCTGACTAAAAATCCACACTCAATTTCGAGAAATAGTCATCCTAGTCCCTGCGCCCCAATATTCTCATAACTCATTTGAAAGTACCTCTCGAACAGAATACTGAGCAAACACTCGGGGAAAAGTACCTGCATCTGTTAAAATATTCAGTGACACAATTCAACGAAAAAACACGTGTTTCAAGGCTAACTAAAGCCCACATACAAATTTTCTTTTTCTCTTCCATTGAGACTATGAATTTGAATAATGCATGCCACACTATATGACGAATATATGGGCCAATTGACCGATCGTAATCATCGCAAACATTGTGGTAACGTAACGAGAAAAATTACTGAGTATGTGTCATCTCTCGGACGTTTCTTTTTACATCGCCTCGGTAGCTCCCGGGCATGAAAAGTGGGCCCTGTAAGTTACCGCGAAGGTAAGATAGAGACAGAGTATTAGAAGGACAGCTGAGTGGCGCCCAGATTGGAGAGCTACAAGAGTGCAGCATCGGTACGAGTTTCTTCGATTCCCTGCACTCGTTTGTACGTCTTGAAGCCAAGGTGCTTTCGTCTCTAAAATCTCATATCGATTTAATTCCACGCTACTACATGAATTGACTCTTCTTTCAGTGTGACATAATCGAGAGTCGGTTTATTCAATGCAGTGTATACCCATATCTCATGTGATTACTTTACCTAGTTTCACGAGTCACAGGCCATCCTCCTTTTGAGTCGTCTTTTTTCTGAAAAGGGGAAAAATGCAGAATATTAGTACGAGGAAATGTTTTGAAATTGTAATTTCAATGGAATTCATATCAGCTCTTTATTTCTTCATTCAATTGTGCAATCACCAACAACAGGAATTTTAACTATTTGCATATTCTCATATCGATTCGATAATTCTGGTTGGAATGCCTGACTCACTGCGAATCGTGGATGATTAAGTTTCTGTGAACATGCACGTAGCAAAAACAGTTCGTTATATTGAAGACAAAATTATTAATTTCACTCTTCGCTACAGGAGAAAACAGCTGCTGGTTTCCAACACCAAGTTACTGATTTTAGAGGAAACTCATGGTTCTAGAATATTTAGTACTGAGAATATGGAACGGGAAGTCAATTTCAAAAGAAAAATCTATAAAATTTAATATCAAACAAGTGGACAATGGCATTTTTTTATGCATGAGTATACTAAGTGTTGCAAATAAATTGGTAATTTGCTTCCAAATGAGTTCTCTTTTTTGGAATTCTTATTTCACTATTCTCTTCTTGTATTTTTTCATGTCATGGTACTATTATCAATTGAAATGTCATCAAAATTTTGCGTATTTTACGTTCTGCCAAATAATTCTACATATGACAGTATTGTGTAAGTTGATAAACAATGATGCTGTTCTCACCATTTTATAACTTGATTGAGAAGGCATTGAAATGTACTTTTCAAGTCCTGATTCAAGTGCTATTACTGACAACTCTTGAAGTAATTATGAAAAACACGATTTTCTCTTTCAAATCGCATAAACAATGTGCTGTAACTCAACAACAAATTGTGCGACCCCCGTCATATTCTGATAGAATCAAGACGGTATTGTTATCAATTTTTTGAGCCATGACTAATTCCATTTTGATGACAATTTTTTGAGCGATCGTTGAAAAATCTATTTTTGGAAAAATATTAATTTTTTCAAATCTGTAAGAAAAATTGAATTTTAATTGGTGTCAATGAATAGAGCTTATTAAAGTCTATCTTCGTGGAAAAATCCATGAAATTCGAGTGATCCCTTTGTACAAAAATTTCGAGAAAAAATACATACATACATAACAGGAGGCATACATACTAAAAATCGCATATTCGGACTTTTAAGCCATATTTAGTTACCCTAACACTCAAAATTGGAAACTTCAATTTTAGCGATTACAAAGCTCCCATTCGGAAGCAAAACCTACTTATTTCAAGTGAGGAGGGTTCTTACAAGAAGAAATACTTCATTCTTGAGATGAGAATTTTTGCGTTCTTAAACCAAAAACATTCGAAAAGGGTCAACCTGTAATAATTGAACATGAAGGGGATACCGCACTAAAATTCCCAAATCGCTGAATAAGAAAAAAAATCATTTTTTATTTTTTCATTGATCAGAAAGAGGCTTTAAACGCGGCTCCAACGGCTCTGACGTATAACTATATATAGTGCGAAAAGTGGTAATTTTATGAGACATCCCCACCACCATTTTACCCCAGAGATTAAACATTAACTGTTTAGAGTTGTTACAAGTTGTTTTCGCGTTACCTTTCATTTTAAAAAATCATCAACAAACCCGAACTCGACTAAGTCGACGATGAAACATTCATCTCCTTTTCATTTTTAGTTCGAATATCTTTCTTGTATTTTTTTAATGACAAATGTCGTGAGAATTTCTCTTTTGAAATCGACGATTTGTCAATCATCGATCCCATAGGGAAGAATAAATTTCCAATGATAAAACGAAGGTGTGGAAATTCTTTTCTTGCAATTAAACTGTCATGCCTCTATAAGGGATGATTGAAACACAATAATTGGAAGGATCGTAATGAAAGAAAATCCCAGTGATACATTACTGTGAGAATTTTTTTCCAACTTTTTCATTATCTGCTTCATTAGCGTCTCTTTTATGTGGAAAAGTGGAATGAAAAATAATTCACATTCGAGTTGACCTAAAAACGAGAAAACTCCGTCGACATCACAAATAATGACGATGACGCTTGAATCCCTCGAGACAGGAATTAATTCCCAAAATGAGATTGAAAATGTTGCTGTGAGAATATACCCGAGTCCGGATGTCTCAGTCGGAACTATATGCCATGTCTGGGACGGCAGCGTGACAAGTGCAACTTCAACCTGTCTGCCAGTATGACATAATTCTTCTAAATACGTATCTACCGAGACAACTGAACTGCAAATTAGTCCATGAAATTGAATTTCCAATAGAGCAAAACATGTTCGTATAGCAATCCTAGCGAAGAAAAGTCCCCTTTCAAAGCTGTATCCGAGAAAAAAAATATTGATTCGAATTGTTTCAAAAGAAATAGCGTTGAATGAAGACGAAAACTACTTAACGATGTCACGAGTATTCCATGGAATGTAAAAAAATTGAATGATCCGTGAGTCATGTTTGTTGATAGAGGAAAATTTATGGATCAAGAAACTCAATAAAGATGTACCCAACGCACATGTACTTTCTCATGGGATTACATGTGAGGAGAAATCAAAACATCTCCCTCATTTTTTTTTATTTCTGAAAAAATGTTGATTATATTTGAAAACTTTCATCGAATGACAGTTGCACTGAGATTTTAAAGAATTTTTTCATTGAAAATTCACAATTCAATGAAAAAAATCAATGGAAACTATGAATTTTGGTTCATTTAGGCCATGAAAATCGATGGGAGTCAGGCAAGTTCAAATAAATATATTCTTGAATTTTTAATTGCTTCAAAAATTTGTGTAATTTGTTTCTAAATATTCGTGTTGGATATCATGCTCTAAATTCGTTCAATGATCGTTGAAAATATTTGTTTCAAAGCCACTCTATCGAAGTTAAAAAATCGTTACGATACCTATATTGGTTGGTTTGATTTTTATGATTTTTGTAAATTTATAATTTTTTGTAAATTGCTCAGAAAGAGAACTTTCTGATGGCTTCTTCATTCCATAATATAGATAACATCATTATTCTTCTCTCATTCTTCTCTTCGATTTATAAAGAAATTTCAGAAATCATTCTCATAGCATTCAAAAGTTTGTTCATAGATATTTTCATAGATATTTTGGATGGAATTAATCATTTCTTAATTCGGTTTGAATCATTTGCTTACACTGTTAGAAATTTGTTTAATTTCCAGTAACGATTGCAATTAAATTCTCATTGTTGCGTGGTTTAATTCGATTTAAGATCACATCATTCAAGACAGTTCACATTCATCTTGAAAATTCAATAAAATACAGTTTTTCATGGCCAGTTATCATTAATATTTCAAGGACAGCTTGAATTTTAGACTTCATTATGAAAATTGACTATTAAATTTAATTGAATTTTCAATAAATTGAGAATTCCGTAGAATAATTGCCTGAATTTTTATTATTTTCAATAATTTTCATCGTCATATGGACCGGAAAATTAGAATTTCATTAAATATTCAAAGTAGTTACCTGATTTTTCAGTAACCAAATAGAGATAAATTTCATATAAATTTAGTGTTTTTAAAAATTTCAAGTTTTTTTATTTGAAATTTCAAGAGTATTTTTCTAACAGTATACTTGACCCAAGTATTTTGTTTATTTTCCATAGTCCTCTCTCCAGCTCTGTTTGTTAGACCCGTCATACTGGTAAAGCCCGTTGAACGTGGAGTTATCACATCAGCGACACCATTCCATATCTGAAACCCCTTCAGTGCGGGTGTCTGGGAGGGATGGAAGTAACGCGCATTGGGGCCCCGAACAATTAAGGCAAAGTAACTGCCAGACTCTCCCCGACACGCCCCGTTAATCATGCAGTTGAGGGAATTGCTAATCATGAGATTTCAGACGCAAGACTCGGGAATACCAGGATCGTAAACAGTGGTTCTTCGGATTACTCGAAATGTTGATTCCCATCGATTGTCGATTAAAGATCAATCGCATCCTGAAATTAGATGTAGCACTTCAACGTTGCGTTTCTAATGGAAAGTGTAGCGATGGGAAGGGGTGATGACCCACCCCAGCATGCTCATAGAAGGAGAGCTCAGGTGTATCCGTAGAGAGTCGAGATGATATTGAGCGCTTTTTTTTACATAAAATACTAACCTTCAGTATAATAAGGGCTAGGATCATACCAAATTTCAACTTGCTATCTTCATTTTTTCTCAAGTTATCGTGCGTACAAGATTTTTCATGAAGAAAGCAAAAACGGCAATATTTCCAAATTTTGTTTTCATGGGTGTGACGTTATGAGTTTAGTTTTCCTTTATTAAACTCATAGTTTCACTCCGAGTCGGCTAGTGTCGGTGAGCTCACGGGTGGTTCGCTCAATCGGAGAGATGTGTGGAGGGTTGCCGAAATAAAACTCTGTTATATATGTATATATCAACTCTAACTCTATTGTCTATATTAAATATACACTGGATGTTACGGTTTGGGCCGGTATACGCGTGATTACTCTACGATTCGAATTCGGGACTTTGACTCGACTTGATGATTGTATGGCTGAAGGCCTGAGCTAGAGGTCCGCTCGACTCTGCTCCTGATCGTACTCTGTTCTCTGGTGAGTCCAGAAAACTCGTCAAAGCCCCAAAATGCTTACTTAAGCAATCCCACGGTCTTCTTCACTAACACGGTTCCGTGCCTTCATTTGACAGAAACCTACACAGTCAAACAGTTCAGCACCCTGAACTGGACCTGTAGAAAACCGTGGAACCGCTTACGCTGGTGTCCATAGGACATCGTGGGACTGCTGAGCAATGCTTGGATGAAGGGAATGAGAAACCTCGTTTCCCGTTCCCATCATCCACCACTTTAACTATAATTATTTATTAAATCGACGTATTGATCAATCTCAATACGTCACATGGGTATATATATTTTAATTGATCTAGATAGAGGCAATAGAGACGAGTATTTAAAAAAAAAACGAACATGAAAATCGGTGCAGTAATTTTTGACATATTGAGGAAAAACTAAATTTAAACAAATTGTTATATCTCAGAACCTACTGGACCGGATCGGGTTGAGCTCAATCATAGCTACCATGAGGCAAAGTTTCAGATTTTTATCTACAAATTTCAGGGTATTTATGTTGAATTTTCTAAAAATTAAACATCAAAAAGTCAAGTTGTCACATACATACACACAGACATGCCCCTAAAACCAATGAAGCTGAAACTAGCGAAAGATTCGCCAGCGGAAAATACGATTGTCATGTAGAAACTCATTTGCACTAAAAACATTTGCACATATGCTTGTGGGCCTCTTGCACCCTTAGAAATCCTCTAAATTGAATTTTCCGTTAATGAATATTCCACTAGTTTAAGCTTCATCTCAAAACATTATTTCTTCACGTTTCACAACATTCTAGACAATTTGCAATCAAAAATAGAGGTCATCGAAACAAGTATTATGAAAGAAGAAGGATTGACATCGGTGTAGTAGTTTTTGAGATATTGAACAAAAACTAAATTTAAACAAATTGTTGTATCTCCGGACCTACTAGACCGGATCGGGTTGAGCTCAATCATGGCTACAATGAGCCAAAATTTCAGATTTGTTTCTACAAATTTCACCGTATTTATGTTGAATGTTAAAAAATTAATCAGCAAAAACCAAGTTGTCACCTACATACACACAGGCATGATCCTAAAAACATCATTTTTTCACGTTTCATAACATTCTAGACCATTTGCAATCAAAAATAGACGCCATCGAGACGAGTATTTTGAAAAAAGAAGAATTGAAATCGGTGCAGTAGTTTTTGAGATATTGAGCAAAATCTAAATTTAAACAAATTGTTATATCTTAGGGACCTACTGGACCGGATCGGGTTTAGCTCAATCATAGCTACAATGAGCCAAATTTCAGTTTTTTGTCTACAAATTTCACCGTATTTATGTTGAATTTTCTAAAAATTAATCAGCCAAAAACCAAGTTGTCATATACATTCACACAGGCATGACCCTGAAAACATAATTTCTTCACGTTTCATAACATTGTAGACCATTTGCAATAAAAATTAGAAAATCCAAAAATCGATCAAATACAAGGTGTCCATTCGGAAGCAAAAATGCAAAAGTGCAATCAAGTATCAACGAATATCTCCGTTCTCGCCTTTAGAATACCTAGAATTCGTTCTTCTATGTCCGTAAACCTCCCCCTCTCCACAATTACGTAGGAAAAATCAATTAAAGCATAATTGACTCCTCAGAAATTGTCTTTTCGTCCGGAATCCTGTTAAACCCTTCAAACCCATCTCCGTCACGCTTTTAATCCATTCCCTTCTCAATCCTGTCCACTCCCCCTGATATCTTCACGTTAATCCTTGATGGACAAGACGATACACTGATTCCAGTGAATGTCACGTCTGTAGTTGGGAAAAGCGGCGAATGAAAAAGGAATAACCACAGAATCAAAAAGGACAACGAAGGGAGGAAAAAAACATCACAAACTACAAACATGAGAAAAAACGATTAACGAAGTTGACGGCGAAGAAGAAGCGGTTGAAGTGGAGAAGTCGCTCCTCGGGGTATCTTCTCTCCAGTGGAATGCCGTTCATCCGTGCGCGGAGAACACGCGGGCGACGACGTAACTTATGACCGGGGCTTTGGCATGCGTACGAGAAGAAGGGAACCTTCAGATGTAGACGATCGCCTTTTCACATTCATACCATTCCCTCCACTCTTATTTCCATTTATCCGTCTATTTTTAGTTCATGAAAATTCCAGTACAAGTGAACCCTTGTTGAACTACACGATCCCAGGAGGCGATTACCGCTGATTAATTGACATATGATCTCATTATATTTATCTCCGTAGGTGATGGCATTGAGCGCCAAACTCTTTAAAATAAATACATTGCATAATACGCCTCATAACTACGAGGAAAAAATATCACATATTTTTTTTCCCAGTGGATTGCTACCTTTTTTGTACAACAGTTATTTAGAGAGAAAATGCATTCTGCACCTTAGAAGCATGATAAACACAATCTCCTCAGAACCCATTGAAATTCAAAACCAGATTTCTCTTGCAATCAAGATCGCTGGAAAGGTTAATGCCATTTTACACCGCAAAAATGAGAGTAAAATTGTTACAAGGAGAAACTGATTTTTTTTTCTCTCTTCCAAGTTTAATCTGATGAATTGGAGCGACGGTCACTCGTCCGGCTATCGTGATGATTTGATCGAATAAGTCGAATGAAAATAGGAGGGAATAAGCGCTCAGGGTTCAACTCAGGTGTTGAAGAAAAAAATGAAAATAACTCGTCTTTAATCTGGCGGTTATTCTGCATTCAACTCACGAAGACGTCACGTCGCGGTGTGTGTCACTCGATTAACGCCTACCACTTAGGTTGAAAAAAAGAAGGTGCAAGAAAATGCAGGAATGAGAAAGAATGTTATGGTTAAGGTAGTAGGACAGAAATATCCCAGGAAGTAGAATGACACATTCGGATTTGAGATCATCTGGGATTTGAGAATTTTCGCATTATCCACTTTTGCAGCGATTGGGGTCAAGTGGAAATAGATGAGTACAAGATCATGAGAGGATATTGAATATTCAGTGCAAGTGTTCGGAGGTCCACAGCGTACCTTACTCAAACTACAAAAATATAAAGTCCTTCACTCACCCATACGTGAATGACAAACTCCGAAAATTCTTGTACTCCAAAATGATAAAAATTCTGTACGACAAACACAAAACACAGAAATCACTGTCGAACTTATGTCAACACAAAAATAAACAAATGGTACAGAGTGGAGATTTTTCGTTAAAAACGAACGAGACAACCAACACAACACGTCGGGGAAGAGAACGTCATACACTCACTAGGGATCTGTCGACCATTTTGCTACACAAGGCCGGGAAGCCTTTGATGACGGCCGCTACGACGAAAGACGCGCTGCTCGGGGCTGCTGGAATTTGAGGTGTTTACGAGAGTAAAGAGCTGGATGGAGGTGCCATCTAACGGTGCTGTAGATACTCACGGAATTTTATTTCCGGAAGATGGAGAATCATGCACTGAAAAAAGGAATTCGTGAATGAGAGCTACACTGCGGAAAAAATTTGGCCGAATTTTCCGGAAAAACACCTTGAATTCGATTTAAGGGAGTAAAAGTTGATAGAATTTCAAGTTTTTTTTTGTAAAATTCAAGTAAAGAAATTTTACATTTTACATGAGCTTGCAAGTGAAAATGAATATTCATTGGCAAATTTCGTTGAGTCTTCAGGGAATTTCTTTAAAATTCTGGGAATTTCAGGAGTTTTTGAAAGAATTCCGTGAAAATTCAGAACAATCTGGTATTCGAGGAGAGATTTCTCTTAATTTTCCTGATTTTTCATTAAGGAGACACGGTAATAAGTTTTAAAAGTCGCGGGTTATTGGAGTGCGATTTCTCATGCATTGAAGATCGATTATATATGTCTAAAAACGAATAATTTATGCAAAAAAATGATTGTTTATTGTTCGTTTGCCTCGTAGACGCTTAAAATGTTAACAATATTCCAGGACCTCCAATTTTTGAATAAAAACAAAACTTTGGATGACGTGCACAGCCAGATGCTATATCGGACGAATAGCAAATTTGTATTTCTTTGCGGTGATAGCAGGATATCAGAAAAGAAATATCTGAAGTATTCCGTATCAAATGACACAACGGCTGGCTCGCACTCTCTTGAAAATTGATCTCAATTTTTCCTATAATTGGGGGACTAAGGAAACTACCTCTCAATTTTTTTCACATTTTTTTAACAGCTCTCATCCGAGATATAATTTTTTTTTGTTTTTTCGTTTTTTTTTCAATAACTCCAGTTCTATTCATCCGAGTTTTATTTATGGCACGTCAAAACGTTTGATTTTCTACCATCTATACGAATATTTTGAGTATTTTTTTCAACCCCTAGGTGCTCATAGTACCGAATTTTCAAAAAACAGTTGAAAAACTTGAATTTTCAAAATTATGTCACGTTTTATTTTTCCTATCTTTTTAATGGATTGAACTAAAAAGTAATTTTGAGGTTGCAGCAGCAACTGAGAAAAGTTATACTGCGAGACAATTAAACTTAGGCCCGGTTGCACCAACCCCTATTAGGCGAATTTAACAGCCTGTTAGACTAACAGACTGTTAAAATTTATCTGTGCAGTAAATTTATTGGGTTGCACCAAAAATTTTACTAGTCCAGTATCTCCCCAGTAAACCACCCAGTAAATTGGAGGATATATTTAAGTACTTGTTACCGTTTGATACAAATCACATTATACATTCAGACATTTTCAACGATTAAATTTTTCAATCAAATTACGTGTGAAAATTTTAAAAAAAATCATGGATACTCACCTTTATTTAAATTACATTTTGTAAATAATTATTATTCTTTCAAACATTCCCTTCTTGCAAACAAATAATTAAAATTGTTTAAACTTTCGGAAACCTTATTTTTAGGCATGAAATCTATTGATGGTGAAATTCTGAATGTTGATAAATTTGTTAGGATTTGCAAAAAAATCGTTCCAGGGTGGAACACTCATATTTTGAATAAATTTTTCATAAAAAATGATCGTGATCTTCAAAAATCGTATCTTTTGAATTATTTTATAGATTTTTCTCCAGAAGTAGACTTTCTGATTTTATCTCAGATTCTTATGCGATAAATTTGAAAAAATTCATGGATATCGAGCTTCATTCAAATTCCATTTTGTAAAGAATTTTTTTATTGTTAACATTGCCTTCTCATAAATAAGTAATTGAAATTGTTTAAACTTTTGGGAACCTTATTTTTTGCGCATGAAAATGATTTCTAGTAAAATTCTGAAAATTTATAAATTTGTTACGATTTCGATAAAAGTATTTTCAGGCCGGAAAATTGATTTTTTATAACTGAATGAATTATATTATATAATAATTATTATCCATAAAAAATGGTCGTAGGGGACCCAGGGTAAAGTGAAACGCCGGGCAAAATGAAACGATAGCAAAAAGCGAATGTATAGCGGAATTCAGATGATTTGTTTTTTTTTCGTATCAACTAGGGGGAGGAGTGGGGTAAAATGGGTTATTAGGGTCACCCAGTTTACCAGAGTCCAAAGCTCTTATTTCACAAGGGTCGAACGGAAGGGTAGAATCAAATAGTTATATGGGTCAAACGTTAGAGTCGCCTGAAAGGATCACAAGGGCCATACAGGAGGGTGAAGGAAGAAAATGTTTCCCGTTTGGACCTTCTAATTGTTTCACTCTTTGACGGGATCTATAACCGTTTTGTTACACTGTTTCGTGTGAAAAATTTATGAAATAATTAACAAATTCATATTTTTATCGTTTTCCATAAATCCTTCAGAAACAATCAATTTTCCACCCTAAAAATCATTTATTCNTAAACTTGATGATTAAAAATCTCAGAATCTATAGTTTTCAAAAATTTTCAAAAGATCTGTAGAATAACAATTACGAGGTACTTTTTCGAAATTCGACTTCTAAATAACTAATTTCATTCTTTTCCGAATAAAAAATTGCAATATTTAAGCAAAACAGCCCGAAGAATGAATATTTCTAAATTTTTTCCTCAAATCCAAAATACTATAATTATTTTCAGGATTATTTTTCTGGCTATTTTGCAGGAATATTGATTTTTGCAGGAATATTGACTATTTAGAAGTTGAATTTGAAACAAGTATCTCGTAATTGTTGTTCTACACATTTGCAAAAATTTTGAGAAAAAAAAGACCCTCGTGGCTCTGAAATTGAGTACACTGGACTATTTTTTTTAGATTTCAAGCGCCTGGGGGAGAAACATACAATAAACAATCTTTTTTTGCACTGATTCTTCGTTTTTCAAGATATATAATCGATCTTCAATGTTCGATAAATCTCACTGCAATATTCCGTGACTTTTAAAACTCATAGTAACCTCCCCTTAAATGAAAAACAGTTTCTTGTCCATTTTACCCACATGGTCCCTTTACCCCTCTAACCCCTTACCAAAAAAAAATAACGAAGGGTCGAACAGTTTTGAGAAACAGTGGAAGAAATCAGATGGCTGCAACTTTCTCAGGGTCTTATGGCAGAAACAAGTAGAGTGATCTCTGCCCCTTTCTCTCCTATTCGTCTCTTCTGATTACTGTACTTGTCTCTCCCACTTGATTTTAAACTATTTGACCCTTAAGAATGAAATTCGCTACCGTTTCACTTTCCTCCGCGTTTCATTCTACCCCTCGTTTTACTTTGCCGGGTCGTTTTACTTCGCCCCACTCTCCCCTAATTTTCAAATATTGCAATTTTTTAATTATTTTATCAATTCTGTTCCAAAAGCAGACTTTCCAATTTTTTCAGATTTTTTAAATGTTTCCTAAAAGTTTAAAATGAAAAATCAAACTCAAACCTTTCAAATTAAAAAAAATAAAATCATTGCAAACTAATTGAGGATTACTTAACAGACGTTTACCGAGGGAATAAATCTCTGTTAAGTAGACTCTCGATAAACCTCCAGTAACATCCGAATAAAATTTATCAAAGATTCACCAGAGGTTTACTGGCTGGTAACTTTAACAGGCGGTGGTGCAACCGGGCCTTAATGACGTTGACGTCGGTTCAGCCTCAAAATCTATGTATCCCACATTCCTCATATTCGCAAGCAAAATATTAAAACCTGCGTTTATCGTATAAGCTAACGTTAAAATCCCCCTTCTTGACCATGTTTGCAAAGTATTAACGAATAAATTGGCTTATTTACCTTTAGATTCGATACATATTGGGCATCAGTTCTCAGAAGAAATAGCCAAGTGTAAAATCGATTCGCCTGACTAATAACAGCATTACATTTTTTCGAGTTTTTGGAATTTTAAAAAATTTTATGGATTCAGAAGTTGATAAGACTTCGTACGAGTTGCAGTGAAACAATCTTCTCTTTGTAGATTGAAAATATTCTTTTTTTGATAATATTCCATCTAACATGGTTGATTTCATGCCACACATTTACAACTACCAAGATGCTTCTGGAATAGTATTTTTCCGGCCTGTTGCGATGGGGTTTTTTACTCGTATGGCGTTGGCCTCCGAGCCGTAGGCGAGGACTGGCCAACCACACGAGTAAAAAAACCTCATCGCAACAGATCAGGAACAATATTTTTCTGTAGTGATTTTCAAGTTTCCGAGTTTGGAAAGTATGTAATACCAATTCCCAGACGAGAAATCGTGAGAAGCAGTACAGAAAAATATTTCTTCAGAGAGTTGGCAACTGCGGTAATAAATATGTTGACTGTGCCCGCGAGTAATGCTTGCGTTGAGTGAGTCTTCCCTGTCATGAATCTGACTAAAACTAAGACTAGGAATAAAATGAACATGGAGCTGTGAGAATCTCTGTTGAGATTAAAAATCCATTTTCAAGCTTTTTCGAAATCCTGTTCCTCATTCGAGCCTTCTCCTGCCATAATCAAACGGTTCCAAGCTAAAAATATTTACAGTACTCAAACTGTGACCTCTGAAGAAATGCAACAAATAGAAGATGTTTTCGAACTCGTCACAGAAGTCTGATTGTTTTGTGACAACGCGGTCGTCAAAATTTTTTGATAGATAAAAATTAGTTTATGAGGGGAGGGTTCACATAAAACCTTCACCCTGAATATGTGTCATCGGGACGCATGATGACTGCATTGCTCCTATTAATTCCCCCTGGAACAATTGTTTTTCTATGCGAGTCGGCGCGTTGGCTGAGGATCAGTCAAGCAGGATTCTGTCGAGGTCATTTTAATGAGAAGCCCCGCAAGTACCACAGGAGTGTGGTGGAGAACGAAAGAAAGTTTTCCTCCAAGACCCATCTGGCCCCGACACACAGCATGACAACGACGACCGAGTCAAGTTGAGTGGAACCTAGTC